GAAGCGGCGGCGGGGGCAGAAGCAGCAGTGGTGGCGGGGGAGGAAGCGGCGGCGGGGGCAGAAGCGGCGGCAGTGGCGGGGGCAGAAGCGGTGGCAGTGCCAGCGGCAGCAACAGCAGGAGGTGGCGCTCTGACGGCGCCTGCCTTTTCTCTTGCTGCTTGGCCTGGCACTTGCCTCACCCCGCCTCGCGCCTGCCTCTCTTCCTCCTCCTCGCTGGCTCTGGCACGAAGTTTGGGGTGGGCACTGGGCTGCATTACAAGGCGACCTGGGCCGCATGCGGCCCGTGGGCCGTGGGTTGGACAAGCCTAGTTTAGAATATAGAGAATAAGGGGTGTGTGGGGAGGGCTTCTTAGGTGTGGAGTGTTCTGTGCAGGGGTATAAAATGTATTGTTTGAATATGGAAGCTTGCTCTTCTTGTACCCAATCCACTTTGGAAGGGACTTGAAGACCCGTTTGCAAACACTTATTTTCTTTAATAAAACTTTGAACTGTGAACCAAACTTGTTCCTGTGTTGTGAGTATTGAATAATTCAGTTCTTATATCTCACATTACTAAGAGACATTGTGCCAAGGTTTGGGGTGCCTTTGCATATCTCCTCAGATTCTGGCCCACACTTCACAGTACAGGTGACACAAACCGTTTCCCAGGCTCTTGGAATTAAGTGGAAACTTCATGCAGTTTTTTCCCCAAGTAGTAGTGGTTTTGTTGAAAAATTTAATGACTTGATTAAACAACAGATATCCAAACTCTGCACTGGCCGCAGACCATTCCCATAGCATTGTTACTGCTCAGAACTGCCCCACGAAAACCCAGTGGCCTTAGCCCTTTTGATAGAATAGGTGGGGAAGCTATGCATTTAGTGGGGGAGGAGACCCTCCATCAGTATGTGAGCCAGCTCGCTGGGGTTGTGAATACTCTTTCTCGTTACATGCAGGAAAACAAACCCTTGGGCCTGGACCATCCAGTGCATCCCTTTCAACCAGGAGATTGGGTCCTACTGAAATCATGGAGGCTCAACTCCCCGCTCCAGAAGTGAAAAGGCCCATTCCAAGTGTTGCTGACCACATACACTACCCTGAAGATGAGAGGCCTGTCCTCGTGGATCCATCATTCCCACATGAAGTGCCCAGACAGGAGGTGCCAGAGCAGTGGACTGTGACCCCCAAACCACAGGGTGACAGAGACTTGGGACTGAAGTTTCTTTTCAAACAAAAGGTCACCACCTAATCCACATTTCCACACCTTCCTCTTGACTTTTTCTCTGCTCGACCGCAGCTGCACATTACCAAACAGAGGCAACTCCACAAAGGGACCATGCAAAAGCAACTCTGTAGCACCCAAATTCCCACTTTGGCTAAGCAGCAACACAATGGGCTCAGACTGTGTTCCCTTTCCCTTTGGAAATGAGAGCTCCTGCTATTTCCTGGAGCCTGGAGTTCCCTTTATCATTGACAAGGCCCAGGGACATGAAGAACCTCTACTCCAGCCACTAACTGGCATGTTTCTGGCAGGGACTTTGGGGTTCTGGAATGATGAATACAATGCAACATAGTCTAGGTCAGATCACCCGGACTTTAGTCAAAGTGCAAGACCAGATAGATTCCTTGGCAGCAGTAGTCCTGCAAAATCGACAGGGCCTGGACCTGTTTTTAGGAGAAGAATGCTGTTTCTATATGAATAAATCAGGAGTGGTCAGAGAAGCTGCAAAGGACCTGCAAGACAGAGCATCCCAGATTGGACAAAGATTATTGGGGACAGACCAGTGGTTCTCATGGTTGCCAGGATCAGCCTGGGTCAAACAGCTCTTGTTTCCGTTCTGTGTAGTAGCAGGACTAGCCTCCATCCCCTGTGTCATACCTCTACTCAAACAACTGGTTATGAGGTCAATAAAGCAAATAAGGATTGAAAAAGAGTTGATCGTCTTCTCAAGGTCCTTGAGGGGGGAATGAAGGATCAGGTGATGGGACTGTATGTACAGAGGAGGCCCTGGGGAACAGCGGAAGGGTCATATGTGGAGATAGGACCCAGGTATGTATGGAATGGACATGAGAGTGAGGAATATGAATTCTGATAAAACATTTTCTCTTGTCTTAATTTCTGTGCCTTAAGCAGCCTTGCTCCTTCCTGTCCCTCTCTACAGAAAGGTGGGGGGTGCGTGTCATGGGCGGGGGTGCTGCCTCACACAAAGATTTAAAACTGCTTTTACTTTTCTCTGCAGAAAGAGGGGTTGCGGGGTGGTGTGGGGATGCTACCTTGAACTGCTCTGTAATTGGAAAGGGGTTGGAATCTCATTGATTTTGTATGCTGCCCATCTCTACCAAGAGACTTGCAATACCATAAATAACAGAACAATTATGGGATTAAAACATCAGAGATTAAAACATTAATATTCAAGGAGAGAAAAAGCCAAGGTGTACACAGTGAAAGTGTGATCTTGCACTAAACTACTTAGCTACCTCCAAAATAGGACATCACCCCTCTACCAGAGCCCCATGCCAGTTGGCAAATAAGTCAATATTAGTGATACATTTTTAAGCGTTCAGTTGACTGAGTCATGTTTAATGAATAAGAGATAATTATTACTATTATTTTGTTATTGTTGCTGTTGTCTATTATTCCCCACTTTGTACTGTATGGGATGGTTTCTTGCAACCTTTCCCAAGGCACAAAATCCCAACCACTTTGGGCAATGAACTGATTGCAGGCAGTCCTCGAGTTACAACCATTCATTTAGTGACTGTTCAAAGTTACACCGGCACTGTAAAAACTGACTTACGACCATTGCAGCACGCCTACACTGATGTGATCAAAATTTAGACACTGGGCAACCAACTCATATTTATGATGGTCGCCGTGTCCTGCGAAATCAATGGGGAAGCTGGATTCACTTAATGACCACGCTCCTAACATAACAGCTGCAGTGATTCGCTTAACCACCATGGCAAGAAAAGGTGGCAAAAATGGGGGCAAACCTCGCTGCACAGACTCGCTTAGCCACCAGTTCCATTGAGGTCATAAGTCGAGGACTACCTGTACTAATGTAAATCACCCATTCATTATGTTGGATCATCATGGGGAGCCTCAAATTTAGTGGAGCTTTATTGAGAAATATCCAAGAAATGATATAAATATCCTCGGGCTTCGGTAGGACTACACCACTGGGTTTGCGGTGCCTTTTTGTGGGGTTTCTGGTGATTGCATCCCGACACAACCTACGTTTTTTGTACGAGGGCTCCAGCAATCAGCTTAGCCCTAAGGAAAGCCGCACGTCAGGGCATGGAGCGCTGCCGGCTGAGAGAGAGAGAAAAAAAAAAGGCAGCTCTACCGGTTGGGCTTCTGCCTGCCGAAGCCTCAGAGCCGTCCATAATGCACCGCGGCCGGCGCTCCCAAGGATGCCGTCCCTGCCTCAGCGCACTTGGAAGGGCCCGTTCGCGGCTCCCGCCGCCGGAGCTTCCCGCCTCACCTTCACTTTGATCAGCATCGTGGCCGCTTCGATAGCTCCCTCGCCCGCCCGCCCCGGTGCCTCAGCGCCGCCCAACCTCCGACCTCGGAAGCGGAACTGGCTTAGCCGAGAAGCGCCTCTCCGTCCGGATTGGTTCTGGCTGCTTGTGACGTCACTTCCGTCTCGTTTTTTTTCCCCCAGTCATGAGTCCAACATGTTTAGATATCTTTCCGCCGCTTGTCGCGCTGCATTTATGGGAGACGCTTTTTTTTTCTCTCACTAGGGTCGCCATGATTTAAATGGAGCGGAGGACTCCGTTTCCCAGCACGCCCCGCGATTCTATCACGGCTCTTCTTTTTGATAGGCGGCTTAAAAGAAAGAGTGCTGTTATCGTGAAGGAACTATAATTTTATTTCTAATACGAATTATTAGAAATTAGAGTTAATAATTCTAGCATTATTTAAAGCTTTGTTCTACCGCCACTGAGTCATAAAGATAGTACCTGGCGGGCATTGTTTAAGAAAAATGGCTGCTCGGAGACAAATTTGTGACTGTAGAAAGTTACCACCCACCCCTCTCCTAGAATGAAATATTCTAGGAAATATTAAAAAGGCAGAATATTTCCCTGGATTTTGAAAAGGAGAAACATGTTTTAAAGAGAAAGCTCCCTGCCCCCTCCCCCTTCAGCTCCAGGGTGATGGGATTAAGACATGGCCCTGAGGAAATGATAGGATTACCCATCTCACCACATGGCACCTGGGAAGATTGCATCAGCCAGCACTTGGGTGGACTGAAGTTTATTTTCAAATGAAAGGCCACCACCTAATCCACATTTCCACACCTCCCTCTTGACTTTGCTGACTTGGCCCATTTCGACCAATGCTAGTGTTGGAAGAATTATCCTTCTAGGTTCAGTTCCAAGTGGGGGAAAAGACACTGGAAACATGGTGGCTATTTGGAAAGATGGTTTAATGGTGGTCAGAACCAGGGGTGGGTTTCTACCAGTTCTGTCCACCTCTGTAGAACCGGAAGCTCTGAAGAGCAGCAGACATAGAACCAGTGGTGAACCAGTTCTATGTCTACTGATCTTTTTACCCACTCACCCGGGCTCTTACCTGATCTTTATTTCCTGATTTTTCAACTTCAGCTGCCGAACGAGGCACAGCTTCAGTTAGAAAAGCAAGAAAAGAGGGCTGTTTCAAAGGCTGCTTCTCTGCAGGAAGCTGCTGCTACTGCTGCTGCTGATTTACAGGTGTGTGGCTCGCAGCCTGCAGGGAAGCTAGTAAATCCCGAACCGGTAGTTAACCCTGTCATATCCCACCCCTGTTCAGAACCACATGACTTGAAGCTCCAAAGAAGAATGATCACATGCTCCAAGATAAAGGAAAATAGAAGGAAGGCTAAGATGCTGAGAAACCCTTATATGTTGGGCCCCACCTTAGTGTTTCCTGTTCCTGTGCAAGAAATGTATCCCATTGGCTGTCAGACTCCAGGGGTGGGGTCTTAACTAGCTTTGTAGGCTTTGTCTGGACCACATGGCTTCACCTGAGTGTTGGCTAATACAATCTTCCCAGGCCTGGTGGTGAGATGGATAGAGGCCTTTATTATGTAGAGTACTCTGGCCTAGGCCTTAATGGCCCATTAGCAAAGGGGGGCGGGGTGAGTTTCTGCCTCTGAGGTGAGGTTCTGCTTCTGAGTTTCTACTCTTTTTAGGGGAAATATTCTGCCTTTTTAATATTTCCCAGTATATTTCATTTTTCTAGGAGAGGGGTGGGTGCTAACTTCCTACAGGAGGACTGCAATACACAGCTATAGGTGAGGTGAGTTTGGCCCTCATGTTGCCGATTACACTGACCGTGACTTGTCTTATTGGACATTTTTTTCTTCTGGAACCTTCCTGTCCCCAAGGAAGGTGGCATTGCCCCTGTGAACACAGACTGTGACAGTGACAGGTGTGCAGCCCCTCTGGACACTTGTGTTTGAAGCACCTTGGGAGTGGGTCTTCTGGAGTCTTGGGAGTCTAGGGACTGTGGGCGTTATACTTGGCAACTAAAACTTGCCTCTGTGGGCTGCCAGGACTGAGACTCCTCCTACCCAGACCATGCCTAATAACTCCCAGCTTCCTGATGAGTTGATTTTGTGATTGCAACTGCATCACTGAATTTTGTTGTTGTTCCCATTGCTGTGACTGTTCTCCTGTGTGTGTGGACTATCACACTGAGGGTGAGGATTTGGACTGAACTCCTTGAATCTGAACAACAGGAGGAAGAAGTTGAGGTTCCTGATTTTCATGCTGAAGAGAGCATCTCCCCCTCAGACCTAGACCCATCAGACTACCCTGACATATTTTCAAACTGGCAGGCATGAGTCCTCTATGGCTTTGTTTGGTGTTTGTTTATGCCCTGTTGGTGGATAGGGTCCTGAACAACAGCTCAGACTATTGCGAACATGGCTAGTTGCCTACTCCTACCCAAGAGGGGGGCCTTGGAGTTGTTAGGGATCCCTGAGGGAGGAGGAAGGATCAAGGTCCATGGTTTGGGGTCCTCTGCAACACCAAAGAGAGACCTGAGCCAGTCTGCTCTCCCCGTCGCCACTGTCACAACAGCTTGGTAAAGTGGAGAGTTAGCCACCTTCCCAACATTGGCCCCGTGACTGTTGGCATACGCCTTCTGGGGCCACCTCCCTTATGCGTCAAAAGGAGTCAGGACACTCCGGTGGGGGAAAGGATGGGAGACCACTGGCAAGAGTGCCAAATGGAATTGACCATAAGCCCTCCTCAAAAAAAACATGAGGGAGTCAAAATTACCCAAAACATTTCCCTTTCCACATAAAATCTCTACAGAAACAAAGTCATTTTCTCTGCTCGACCGCAGCTGCACATTACCAAACAGAGGCAACTCCACAAAGGGACCATGCAAAAGCAAGTCTGTAGCACCCAAATTCCCACTTTGGCTAAGCAGCAACACAGTGGGCTCAGAGTGTGTTCCCTTTCCCTTTGGAAATGAGAGCTGCTATTTCCTGGAGCCTGGAGTTCCCTTTATCATTGACAAGGCCCAGAGACATGAAGAACCTCTACTCCAGCCACTAACTGGCATGTTTCTGGCAGGGACTTTGGGGTTCTGGAATGATGAATACAACGCAACATAGTCTAGGTCAGATCACCCGGACTTTAGTCAAAGTGCAAGACCAGATAGATTCCTTGGCAGCAGTAGTCCTGCAAAATCGACAGGGCCTTGTTCACGTTCTGTGTAGTAGCAGGACTAGCCTCCATCCCCTGTGTCATACCTCTACTCAAACAACTGGTTATGAGGTCAATAAAGCAAATAAGGATTGAAAAAGAGTTGATCGTCTTCCCAAGGTCCTCGAGGGGGGAATGAAGGATCAGGTGATGGACTGTATGTACAGAGGAGGCCCTGGGGATCAGCGGAAGGGTCATATGTGGAGATAGGACCCAGGTATGTATGGAATGGACATGAGAGTGAGGAATATGAATTCTGATAAAACATTTTCTCTTGTCTTAATTTCTGTGCCTTAAGCAGCCTTGCTCCTTCCTGTCCCTCTCTACAGAAGGGGCGGGTGTCGTGGGCGGGGGTGCTGCCTCACACAAAGATTTAAAACTGCTTTTACTTTTCTCTGCGGAAAGGTGGTGGATGGGGGTGCTACCTTGAACTGCTCTGCAATAGGAAAGGGGTTGGAACTGCACATTTTTAGCGAGGCAGAAGTTAACACCTTAAACCACTAGCCAAGTTTTGGGGACAACACCCTCCGGTGTTGCAGCTAATCCTAGGATGTCTCCAGGGAGAATTATCTCCTTCCGTTATGTTCTCATCCATACCATTTCATACCTCTTACTTTGGCTGCCTACGTGGCATCTTTCCTTAGTGTTAAGGAATGTAACATCCCCTCATCAGAGCCTCTTTCTATTTTCTGAAGATACAATTCTTAAAGCTCATCATGTACTACCATTTTTCCAAAGCGATTATAACACCCCACCCCACCCCAAAAAACAATGATATCAAAGGCCTAAGATAAAATTATTAAAAAAGGCTTAACAATGGAATATGTCGAAAGTATAAAAGCAAAGCATGTATATACAGGGAGATACATTTCCTTTGATAACAGATTAACAGAATTGGAAGGGACCCTGCAGGTCATCTAGTCCAACTTCCATTTGTGAAACCTTTCAGCATCTTATATACTGTTAAATATGCATGACACTACATTTACATGAGTTACATCGTATGCAAAGTGGAGTCTGATGTCAGACTCCACTTATTGGTTTCAGCCGCTGGCAGGAAAATTGATTTCCCGTCAGTGGCTGAAGTGTCGGACAGCGCTGGCTATAAAAAGCTGGTGCTGGCCATGTTTGTTTGCTTTTGATTCCAGTTTGTATATAAAGAGTTTCTCACACTCCTGAGTCCTGCTCCTTCCTCATCTGCACCCATTTAACACTGGTGACAAAGGTGGGATTCTGAGGAAGATGACCTCGTGGGGCACCGTGGCCATTTTTCAGCTGAATCATGAACTCGACTGTTCAGACTGACAGCAAACCAACATGGCCCACCGACCCCTATCAATCTCATTCGAGCCAACCAAAGAGAAGTGGTCCTCGTACATGGGAAGATTCAACCTAAATCTGGAGGTAAACGGGATGCAGACAGCATCAGACACAAAGAAGAAGGGTTACTTTTTAAACTATCGCGATTCGGAACTCTACTAACTAACCAAAGCCCTCATTGCAGATGAGCTGGCGAATGTCTCCTGGGATGAACTGCAATAAGCACTGAAGGAGCATTTTGACCCTACCCCATTGTACCTGGCAAATCAGAACGACTTCTACATCTGGAGCCAAAAGGAGGGAGAAAGCATAAGTGATTTTGTGGTGGCGCTTAGGAAACTATCAAAGAACTGCAAGTTCTCAAACGCCGAAGAAATGACCCAGGATCGGCTAGTCCTTGGCCTAGAGGATTTAACCCTGCAGAAGAAACTGTTCTCAAGGTAGGACCTCCCGTTCAAGGAGGCTCTGGAAGAAGCAGAAGCCTCCGACTGCTTGGCAGCCCGAGTCAAGAGCAGCAGTAAGGTCCACGCCACCCATGCTGCGAGGGGGCCACTGCAAAG